AAGGGTGTGGGTATGGGTGTGAGTTTGATTAAGCCCCCCCCCCCCCCTCCCCTCAAAGTTCAATCTCAGCTCAGGAACATCGAGATGCCATGAAACTTTGAGGATATGTTGGGGGTATAAAAGTACGTCTATGATAAAATTTTCATCCTCCTGTTCTGATGTATAAGGTACCTACGAACCAAACAAGGGTCGAAAAATAGCTTATCGCATACGCACAAAATCTCGATGGGTGTTCATTCAATATGGTTCATTGTTTTTTCATTTGAAAGATCATGTCAGAATGCAGTGCCTCTGAGGGCCCTTTTTTTAAAATTCTTATCTTTAGTAAGAAAAAAAGGCTTCACACATTCAATCACTCAAAAATCCCTCAAAAAAATCATGCTTATATTATAAAGTCGCTTTTTCAATATAATAATAAGAAAGCTTTATCAAAAAAAGGGCCCTCAGAGGCACTGCATCCTGACATGCTCTTTCAAACAAAAAAAAATATTTGACTTTATATCGGATTATAACTGACTTTTGGTGCGTATGCGTAATTCAACCACCATTTTGAGAAAAACGTGAAAGAATTTTTTTATGTGAAATTTCCTAGAAACATTGTTTATTATGTGAATATCTGTGCTTAGTCAAAGGATATCATTTTCCTTCTTCTTCAGTAGTTTCTCTAGGAAAATTTCTAATGAAGCTGTATAAAAAAAACATCTATTAACTTGATAAAATGGTCTTTGAAGGTGTTACCATAAGAGGCGAGATGCTGACAGCTATTTATCTAAATTTTCGGATTTTTTTTGAAAACTTGTACGTATGCATAGGAGTTGCGATTAGAAATACCTATACAAAAAAAGATAGTCAATCTCATATCATAGCTTTACGTGTTCAATCGTAACTAGCTGTTACTATTTATTGAATATTAAGGGTTAGATCTAACGTTGGAATGACCTGCGCTAGTGTACAAGACTATATATGCTACATTTATGTTTTTTTCTTCCTTTCTCTCTCACCATCTATATAGTAAAGTTTCCATTCTTTGTGATTGGTTCTATCTTTTCTTTAACTTTATTTATTTTATTGTTTCTGTCATTCTCACCATTATTGTTATTAAGTATGTGTCTTGAATCTTCAATAAAAAGAAAAAAGAACTAGTAATACGTCGAGAATTCAACACATACTCTGAAGAAAAAATGATGATGAGTCTTTTTCTTTTTAGATTGATTTCTAATTTCGTTATACAAACGCATACACACACACACATATATATATATATATATATATATATATATATGGTATGGCCAACAAACGACGTCCAAAGTACGGTTTCAAAAGGTATGCTTTGTTCATTTACATAGTATCATAAAAAATTGTATTTTATTGATAGAGTTCGTCCACTAATAAAAAACTTACGATCAAAATCCAAACCATCTGCATCAGAAGTACCTAAAACGTCGGCTTCATCATCTACCACTAGGAAGCGTACAGTATCTACGTCTAGTCAAAAAATTATCAAGAAACAAAAAACATATAGCGATTTGTCATCTGATTCTGATGTACCCTTGGATGCGTATTCTATTATTCAAAATAATTTATTACTAACATTATTATCGAAAATGAAATGCGCATTATGCGAAAAGCGATGGGATGGTAAAATGCACATGAATAAAAGAGAGGGGTTATTCGTTATTCTCTCTTTTGAATGTCGTTTTTGTAATAATAAAATTAGCATAAGTGAGTAATGAAATAGTCCTATTCCTCGATAATCGCACTATTATGAATTTCTTTTCATTTTTAGATTCAAGTCCTCAAGTACAAGATTCTAAACGACATGATATTAATGTGAGAACTCAACTTGCAGGACATTTAACAGGTATTCGCCATGCTGGATTACAAAAAATATGTGCAGCATTAAATTTACCATCATCATTAGAAGAAGGACGTCATAACAAACGTGATAAAGAATTATTACAAGTAGTGCAAAAATTTGCCAATGAATCTACGTCAACAGCCATACAAGAAGCTATTGATGTTCCCAAAAGTACTGACATCACCGTTAGTGGTGATGGAACATGGCAAACAAGAGGTTTTTCTAGTAAGCATGGTGCTGCCGACTTGATATCTACATGTGATTCTCCGAAAGTCGTTGACATTGAGACATGTTCAAAAACATGTAATGTTTGTTTAGGTAATATTCTTGAATTATTTGAATGATCAAAAAAATACTGAAAATATAATCAATTTTTTTGCTTCAGGTGCCGAAAGCTTATTACAATTAGGAACACTAGAAGCTCGAGCAAAATATAATCAAATAATAATTAATCACGATTGTGGAAAAAATTTTGATCAACCTTCTGGCAATATGGAAGCATCGTCCATCTTAAAAATGTTTCGAAGGTCTGAAAAAAAATATGGTGTTCGCTATGTAAGATACATAGGAGACGGTGATTCTAAAACATTTTCTGTACTAAAGACAGAAATATCTTACAAAGGCATGAATGAGTTTTCTAATTTTTCATAACATGAATAACAGAAAGGTTTTATATATTTAGGAATTGAAATACAGAAAATTGAAGACATCAATCACTTTGGAAAACGTCTAAAACGTGCTCTTGAAGTAATTAAACAAAAATGTGGTAAAGAGAAGTTATCAGACGGAAAAATAATAGGTGGGAAAGGACGTCTTACAGGTAACACCAATGAAGAAATAATGAATGAAAACATACGAACTAAACACTTTATTTCTTTATAGATCAAATGATAACTCCTTTTCAAATATATTTTTGTGAAGCAATTCGGAAGAATAAAAATGATCTTGATAAATTATATAAAAGTGCTCAAGTATGACATTCTGAAGTTTTTATACTTAGGCATTCATCTGTTTTTCTTAGGCGATGTACTGGCACAAGTTTTCCACAAACTCAGATCATCATCATCAGTTTTGTGATGTATCGTGGTGTGGATATTTACAAGGAAAGAAAAATAATACTCACTTCGATCACACACCACATGCATTACCTAGAGCGGTTATGAATAAAATCAAACCGGCTTTTGATTCAATTTGTAGCAAACAAAGCCTGATGCGTGTTTTGAATGGATCTACACAAAATCCAAATGAGGCCTTTCATTCTTTAATATGGATAACGTCGCCAAAGCACAAAGCAGCCTCGAATGTTACATTTAATATTGCCTGTTACTTAGCAGTAATAATTTTCAATGATGGCTATTATAAATTAGGTAAAAAATATTGAACAAAAAAAAATTACCACCTTTTTTTTAAAATTCATATCATGCTAATTTCATTATTTTTTAGGTAAAATCTTTGAAAAATTATGTGGTTACATCGGCTCTTACACTGAGAACATACTGATCTCATTCGACAATGAACGCTTACATACTGCAAATAAAGAACATATGCGCAAACAAAAGAAGTTGATCAATCTAACTGAAGCAATTAAAGATACAACTGATGAAGAAACACATGGTATATCTGATGCTGATGATGTTAGTGAATCATCTGATCAACAAAATGAAAACAATGATGATTTTGATGACGATGATTATGATGATGTAAGTTCCACTGCTGATCCTTCGTTTGATGATGATGAAACATCTCACAACAATACCGATAACGAAGATGATAATAATGATGATGGAAGTCGACAAGTAGAAGATTTTTTATTATAATCCAAAAAGTCGGAAATGGAAAGACTCGGACGAAGACAATTGAATTTTCAATATAAACATTTTTTGTTTTTTTTTTCTGTTTTTTATGTATATATATACATATAAATATGTGTAAACACTTTCTGTGTTTTTAGTATTTGTACGCATGATAAAAAAGCTTGATTCTAATAAAGCTTTTTCTCATTTCTAAAATTTCGTCTGTTGGAAATAGCCTATTTACAGAGAATATTAGTAGTTTCGAGTAACATAGATTTTTTACAATTTTTAGACCAACTATCAGAATGGTTTTCTGAAAGATAAGAACGCTGTTAGAAGTTTATACAAAAATAATCTATTGATCCATAATCAAGTGATCGGGATGACATAAACTAAACCATATAGCCATCTTTTAACATTCAAGAAATACTTTTTTTGATGGAAAAATGACCTTTTTCTCCAAAATCTTATTTTTTTTGAAAAAAATCAATTTTTAAAAAAATTTACGTATAGTGCCGAAAATACACTTTTTTGCGAAAAACCCAGGTTTTTGGGGAACGAAACCTGAAAATCATGTGTATTCTTAACTTTCTGGTATCATAGTATTCGACTGTGCACCTATCTCAAATTTCGTTTTTCTAACGAAACTTGACATTTTTAAGAGGGGGGGGGGG